TGTGTGTGTGTTGGGGGGCTGGTTAACATTAGCCAGGTGGTTCTCAATCAAATAAGAAATCTGTTCGGTGTCAAAGCGCAGAGTGACTATTGCAAAATGGCACTGTGGCCTCCATCGCAGCACTTTCCCCACGTTTTTCCGATTTTATTTTTATGTTTATTGTTTTGCAGTCCCGGGGTGGAACCCAGGTCCGGCCGGTGCTAGGCAGCGCTGAGCGGCCCCTGGGCAGCAGTGCCGACCTTAGACCCCGGTGCCCGATATCCTCACTTGGGAACCCACCCTCCACAGAGCTGCAGCTCCACCATAAAGAACCTGAATAATCTCCTTGTTCTTTTTGGTCCTTCCTTAGACCCCGACTCTACTCTGAGACAGCGGGTGAGTCCAGACTTGTGGACACTCCTTTTGGGGTCTCCTCTCACCCCCACACCTTCTGCCTCCCTCCAGGAGTCGGAGCTCAGGAGAAACGGAAGAAGGTGCCCACTCGGCTCTGTGGGCCTGGAGGTGTCCCCATGGTGGCATTCACAGGGCCAGTGGTGACCGGTGCCTTCCTGTCGTGCTGCGGCTGGGAAGGTTTCTGCTCTTGCCACAGCCTGATGACGAGATGGCCCAGCACCTGGAGGTGAGGCACATGGGTGACCTGCGTCCTTCAAAGTCAGGTTCCGCGGCCTCCGGGAGCCCGCACCAGGAGCGGCCGACCCTCCAGAGAACGTCACTTTGGTTGACGTCTCCTCTCCCTGGAACATGAGCCATTTCCTATCGAATCCCACGACTTTATGAATATTCCAGAAACCTCCACTCCTGTTCTTACCGAATCCCTCCTTTCTCTCTCCATTTTTAAAAAAATGTTCCTCATTGCACTCTCTTTGCCATCCTGCTCGTTGTCCCTTTATTAATAAGGGCCAAAATTTCGCTGCGCTCCTCCTCTGTGGACATTTACGTGACAATTGCGTATTTCGTGATTTCTAAACACTGGCAAGTTTCTCACAGCCTCTGACCCTCCCCAGACCAGCTCGGTCCTTCCCTGTGTGACGCTGGGTGAGTCTTTCTGTCTCTGACCTTTCATTTCTTCATTAGCAAAATGGGGCGGCGTCAGGTGAGCCTCTGGGTTCTGACATTTCCTGTTTCTGACCCCTCTTTCTGGAGAGCAAGGCTGGCCCGAGGCAGTCAAAGAAGATGGGCTCTGGAGAGGATGGTAGAGACCATGAGAGTGTGGCTCAGAGAGGTTAGGTACCCTGCCCAAGATCACACAGCTGTGGTTCACAGTCATGGTCTAGAGACTTCCTCATGAGTTCATGGAATCCCTCAGAAGCCCACCGAGGGGTCTGGCTGTCATCCCTGTTTCACAGAGAAGGGGACTGGGTTCCAGGGGAGGGTGCAGCTTGCCCAGGGCCACACAGTGAGGCTGAGCAGGGAGACTCTGACTTCCTGCGTCCTGGGGTGAGGGGGGTGGCAGGCAGGCCTTGTGGCCCCCCTTCAGTCGCAGCAGCCCTCTGTCTCTGTCTGGTAGATGGCAGGGCCACGGGAGACTGCAGGTGAAAGGGGAACCCTGAAGCCCGCCCACCCTGACCTTCCTTCTCCCTCCCGGCTGCCTCCCGGCCTCCTCCTCTGGCAGATTGTCCGGATGACCATGACTTGCTCGTGGACGGAGGCAGAAAGGTGTGGTCAGCCCAGGCCCCGTGGGAGAGAGGGTGTGGATCAGTGTCAACAACAGGAGCGCTGTCAGGGTCCAGGCAGGTAGTGAGCGCCCCGTCAGCGGAGCATTCAAACGCTGCGGCGTCGCCCCTGCCCGGCGGGATCGTCGGGTTCTGCTGCTGTGCGGCTTGGTTGTTTGGTTGTTTGGTTTTGGGGGGGTGTGGGGATCCCAGCCAGGACCTGGTGTGCGCCCGGCAACTGCTCTGCCACTGAGCCGCCCCCCGCCCGCCCGCCCCCCATTGCTGTTTTTATGTTTTCTTGTTGGTAGAAGCTGACGGTCCCACGGTCCCACGGTCCCCAGGCGCCCGTTATTTTACACGCGTGTGTCACTGTCATCCCACGAGGCAGAATCTATTGTTCCCAATTTACAGATAAGGAAACTGAGGACCCAGAGGTTGAGTCACTTCCCGAGGACAAGCAGCCAGGAAGGGGAAGTCCGGACCCTGGTCCCCCCCCCGGTCCCCCCAGTCCCCCCAGTCCCCCCAGTCCCCCCCAGCCCTGCTCTTTCTTCTCTGCATGTCCCCGGCTCTGGGCAGGACGAGGCCAGCAAGTGCCTGACGGGAAGACAGCCTGCTCCGCCCTGAGGGTCTGTCCCTCTGTGCCCCACAGCCCCCGGGTCCCCTCCACCCCTCCTCCTGGGCACTGGCCAGCTCTCCCGCCCCCTCCACAGCTGTCCCATGTGACAGTGGCTGGGCTCAGCTGTCCCATGTCCCAGTCCTGCTGAGGTCGGCTCAAAATCTCCCCGTCTGAGGCTGAGGGAAGGGGAAGTGAGGAGGGATGTGAAACTCGCCCAGAGGGCAACACCCTCCGGTGTCCCTGGGCCAGGGCAGGAGCGTCCAGTTGGCGTTGACAGCCAGAGGCAGGTGAGGCTGGACCCGAGGGAGGGGCCTGGGAGGTTCGGGGACCGGGCAGCGGGCTGGGCCGGGCACCTGAGGAGGGGGGCAGGGATGCTGCCCTGGTTCCGGGAGGGGACATGTCCAGGACCCAGAGCGGGTGAGTGCCGAGCCCCGAGGCCCCTCCCGGTGGACGCTCAGAGGAGCAGGGACAGATGTGTCCGCGGCTGCCCGGGCGCAGCTCCCACCTGGGCGAGAGGCGGTTGAACGAGGAGCAGGAGGTGGATAAATATTTGTTCAATGGGATCGATCGTGCGGGGGCGGGCGGGGGCCTGGGCTGCTCGCTGGCCTGTGCGTCTGCGGGTCCCTGGAGCTGGACGGCCAGTGGCCCTCAGAGGCCGGGCTGTGCCCTGGGGGAGGGCACACGGGTGGAGTGGGCCTCGGGGTGTGAGCACATGGTGCCCAGCCGCCCGGCTCCGCCGTGTCTCCACAGGTGCCATGGAGGCCCCTGGGCGGTGGCTGCTGGTCTGTGTGCTGGCCGTGTCCCTGCCCTGGACAGTGACCGAGAATGTGTGCCGAGCCCCCAGTGGGAAGGACGGGGCTGCGGGCAAACCTGGCCGACCCGGGCGGCCGGGCCTCAAGGGCGAGCGAGGGGAACCGGGTAAGCGGCTCCTCTGGACCCTCAGCCAGCGGCCAGGCCTCCAGCTGCAGGCTCGGTGGCCCCGAGAAGCAGAGGTCCACTTGGGTCCCCCCATGAAGCCCTCTGGTTTGCACTGTGGCCCAAGGGCCGGGTGCCTAGCCTTCCGTCTGGGCTTTTAGGTCCCAGACCTGCCAAGACCTTCCTCCTCTGGATAATGAGCTGCTCGGACCCATGAGAGTGAAGGTTCTGAAGCCCGGGCCTCAGTCACTGTTCAGATACCAGAGTGAACAGGCCCCCGATTTCAGGCTCAGGAGCCACTGCCTTGCTGTGTGACCTCAAGCAGGCCACCGACCCTCTCTGAGCCTCAGTTTCCTCATCTGTAAAATGGAGACATCATCCTGCCTGGCACATTGAGAGGGATCAGTGAACAGGGAGGATGGTATCGGGAGTGGGGAGGAGGGTCTCATGGCGTCCTGCTGCTCTGTCCGTCCCCAGTGGAGCAGAAGGATCGGCAGAGACTCTGGCGTTAGTTTGTATCCAGGAATCTACACCAGGTGCCCAGACCTGAGGAAGAAGGGGTCAGTGGCCTGGAGGGGTGTGGGGTGCACAGAGGTGGGTGGGAACAGGAGCAGCCAGAGGTCCTCGGTCCCAGAGCCCACGCTGTCCCAAGGCCGCTTCCGGCTTCTCTCCATTTCACAGAAGCAGCCGAGGCTCAGGGGGATCGAGACACTGGCCCAAGGTCACACAGCCCTCGGGGGTTGCCTTGAAGGCTCCAGCCCTCCCCGGGGCAGGCCCTGGACGCTGACCCCGGGCTCCTCTTCCCCACAGGGGCCCCTGGCATCCGGACAGGCATCCGGGGCCTTAAAGGAGACCCCGGGGAAGCTGGGCTCCCTGGGAAGCCGGGCATGATGGGCTACCCGGGGCCCAGCGGCCTCCCTGGGGACCGTGGCCTGCCAGGACCGAAGGGCATCAAGGGCAACCCAGGAGACATCAAGGACCAGCCGCGGCCGGCCTTCTCGGCCATCAGGCGGAACCCCCCAGCGGCCTCCCTGGGGACCGTGGCCTGCCAGGACCGAAGGGCGTCAAGGGCAACCCAGGAGACATCAAGGACCAGCCGCGGCCGGCCTTCTCGGCCATCAGGCGGAACCCGCCGGTGGGCGGCAACGTGGTCATCTTCGACGCGGTCATCACCAACCAGGAGAGCCCCTACCAGAGCCACTCGGGCCGCTTCCTGTGCGCCGTGCCCGGCTACTACTACTTCACCTTCCAGGTGGTCTCCAAGTGGGACCTCTGCCTGACCATCGTGTCCTCCTCCCGGGGCCAGGCGCGGCGCACCCTGGGCTTCTGCGACACCAACGGGAAGGGGCTGTTCCAGGTGGTGTCGGGGGGCACCGTGCTGCACCTGAGCCACGGCGACCAGGTCTGGATCGAGAAGGACCCCGCCAAGGGCCGCATCTACCAGGGCCCCGAGGCCGACAGCATCTTCAGCGGCTTCCTCATCTTCCCGTCCCCCTGAGCCCCCCGCGCAGCGCCCCCGGCCCTCCCTGTGCCCTGCCCCGCTGCCGAGGGGCGGCTCTTGGCCACCGTCCCCCGGGCCGCTTCTTGGCCCTTCCTGGAATAAAGGTCTGAGCCTGTCTGGGGCTTGAGGTCCAGTCGCCGCTCCGCGCACTGGGGAGGTGGCCGCCTGTCCGGCGCTCCCCGCTGGGTTTGGCGGGTCCCAGGAGCCGGTGCCAGCGCTCACCCCACCCGGGTCGTCTGCAGACGGGGTGCCTTCTGCACCTAGTGTCCTGTCTGTAAGGTGGGCTGCTGATGGCACCTGCCTCAGAGGGTGGGGAGCAGGTGACCTGCTGTCAGGCTGCGGCCAGCGCCCGGGTGAGTCTCCTCGTCTAGTCTCTCAATAAACATTCCCGTCAGGGCTGCAGGGCTGCAGGGCTGCAGAGCCATCGTCTGTTGTGCCATCTTGTGGGTCAGGCTCCAGGTGCGAGTCACGACCCTACTTTACAGGCGATGCCATGGGCCCAGGCCAGGGCTTGGGGCCCCAGGGCGGGATCTAAGGGAGGGGCTGGAATTGAGCCCGAGTCCCACTGCCACCCAAGCCCAAGGGCACCTGGCGCCCTGGCCAGCCTCCCCGACCCTACAGCCTCCTGACCTACAGCCTCCCCACTCCTACAGCCTCCCAGACCTACAGCCTCCCCACTTCTACAGTCTCTCAGACCTACAGCCTCCCAGACCTACAGCCTCCCAGACCTACAGCCTCCTGACCCTACAGCCTCCCACACCCTACAGCCTCCCAGACCTACAGCCTCCCCACTCCTACAGCCTCCCCACTCCTACAGCCTCCCACACCCTACAGCCTCCCGACCCTACAGCCTCC